TCGATTTTATCGATTTTTTGCAAAATTTGAGCTACGGGGCTGGGAGTTGGCACAGGGGGGGGTAAGTGAGCATGCTGATTACGAATACAATATTAGTTTTTAAAATCGTGCATTACTTTTATCGATTTTATCGATTTTTTGCAAAATTTGAGCTACGGGGCTGGGATTTGGCACAGGGGGGTAATCGAGCATGCTGATCACCCCCGTAGGAGTGATCAGCATGCTCGATTACACCCCTCTGCCAAATTTCAGCCCCCTAGCCCAAATTTTGCAAAAAATTGATAAAATCGACATCGATCGATAACGAAAAGTGGACTGTGACACCCACCGGGGCCCGAAGTGTATGTGTGGCAAGTTTGGTCTGGATCGGTTAAGAAATGGAATTTTTTATTCGGAACGTACGGCGGAGCCGGGTAAGCCAGCTAGTTGTAAATAAGCTCTTGATTACTTCCTTAACTTCAAGACGCAGTTTTGAAACCTCGCGTTTTTCCACTAGACATCGAAACTCAAATTCTTTTTAAAAATTTTGGGACGATCAGGTATTGAGCAGAGGAACTTCCATAAAGATGGAAAGAAGGAGTGAATATGGAGACGAGGAAGTGTGAAAATGAAGGGGCGGGGAAGGGAAGAAGGGTGGGCGGGAAGATATGTTTGATTGACGGGCGGGCCTCGACATATCCTTTGATATTTACCCAAAAACGATATCCATCTTGCCCACGCTTCAATTTTGTAGGAGCTGTGGAGTGCATGCTTTTCAAATGTTACCTAACTAAGGTATTTACTTTCCTGAAGCTAAGATACATACAGCTAGAGAAATTGACTTTCTGGCTTTTTGAACTTTATGCTTGCATGTCTGAAATTGTATATTCAAGCGAAAACGTCCTAAAAACATCCAAAGGATAGATTTCTATGGCTTTCAGTTTGTGCTGTAAAATGTAGCGCTTTATAACAAACTAGAAAACGTAGCATTTTGTATCATAAGCTAAAGAAAGCTTCACCATGTAACTTTCCAATCCTTTTCGAACAGTTGCACGGGAGAAAATCATTTGATTTCAAATCAGAACGCATCCTGTTTGGCGAAAAGCTTTTGATATTGAAGAGAAAGCTTCCATCAATGAGTGTTCCACCTAATAGGCCGAAGAACTCGTTTCTGAGTCAACATTGTCACATTTTTTGGGCTTATATCAGCAACATTGCGCCAATATTGCATCGATAACTTGATTGATAAGTGAACGCATCATCCTTCATAGAACGTCAATCTTCTGCTACAATCTTTTGCTGTATCATGAGTAAATTCAGATTTTTTCTTGGAGTTTTTGGCCATTTTCTTTTAACCTATGATAATTACAAGGAGCCTCTCCATTTCCTTTCTCCCCTTCCGACAATTGGGATCCTAGAGTGTCCACATAAGGTATGAATGCAGGTGACTTCTTTTCACATGTGAATGACTGAAATTATTATTGGAGATCTCAAAATGCCAAATGCTTTGTAAACAAAATTTATTCTAATTTTCATTTGCAATGAATCTTATTTCAATACTGACCGAGCATACATGGAAACATATGACTGGCGGTCCCAAAGAAATCTCTCGAGAGGAAGGAAAGCAAAAACTTTTTTGAATGAAGGCTGTTAGCCGCGCTCTTGATGAAATCAAACTTTTTGTTCATAATTTTCACAAGCTTGTAAACTGGATGTTGGGGAAAGGGCGCTGGGCGGGGAGAGGGGAGGGGAGTTTAGCAGTAAGGCCTTCTTCAAATGCCCTGTCTTCTCTTTTTTCTGTCTTCAGAGCTTTCCATTTCGATAAGGTTGATAAGAATGCTGATATTTTCTGCAAGTATCTGAAGTTACATGCATAATTTTATAGCTCATGTAAAATAGAAAGAACATTTCTCCAGGGAAGAGAGGGAGACGATCAAGAGTTTGTGTTATTGGATAGGATATAGGGTTAAACAGCCATCTTGCGTAGTGCATTTGGGGTGTCCATCTGGCAATAAAAGTCGCGCTTCTTCACATAAAGCCGGGGGCAGGCAGGCAGAGGTGTCGATGACGACCAACGCTGGACACTCAAGTTCGGCTCATTCTCAACTACTACCGCTCCTGACCGTACGTCTTGTGAGTGGATCTTTTTTGTACATATCTGCATATAACTGGAAATTTGGGAATAAATGTATTTGGATGAGTCCAATTACCCTAACTTCACACGTATAAAGCGCACTTTTTCGAATTTTCAAGCTAGCCGCTCAGCCGCTTTACTTTATTCCGGAAAGAAATCCTTACATCGCACGAATCTCTCAAGCAATAGACAGCACGTTATGGGGTCCTTTGGTTGCAAAGTCCTTTGGCGTGTCTGGGCTGGTCGATTTTGGAAAAAATCTCCCGCGCCTTATACGCGTGAAATTCGGGTACAAAATCATTGTCCTGCGTGGCAGTGTTTCAAGTTTACCAAGGCCCACTGAAGCAAAACACCCCAAATTCTTCAAAGCAATTGAAGCGCATCATATTCAAATGAAATTTGTAGACCGTTTAGAAAATCATCCCATCACGCAATCAAAGTGAATGAAAATTTGTATCAGTCACAAGAACCTCTAAACTATCTCAGATTGTTTAAGTTCACTTTTTGATGCATCACGGAGATTTTGCCACTCAAATTGTAAACAGTCTAATACTTTTCTGGACCCGGATTATCGACAAATTCTAGTGACATACAATATGGAGCAACGTTTCGCAATAGTTTTCCATCAAGGCGTCTTTCAGGCGCATCTGTTTTTGCTAATAGAGTGGATGTGGAATGTCCTTTCTGGCCTGATTCCATTGCTTGGCCTTTGCAAACCTTACGCCATTAGCATTCATGGAAAAATGCAAAGAATGTTTGCTGACGCCATTTTCTCAGTCAAAAAATGCACTTTTGCTGGTATTTTTTCTATGCATGACCTTTTGTGGTAGAAAAAGAATTCAGCAGGAGGGTCTACTATATTCCTTTAACTCAGAGGAAATCCTTTTTTTACTTTGGTACTATTTTTTTCTCATTCTTTCCTATCTTCTTTTTCTCCTTACTTTTTACTCTGAATGTATTTGATAGAAAAATGAGGAAATAAATATTTAAATGAATAAGTACGTAAATATCTTTTCGAGCCCAAAAAATTGAATTATTAATGAATGAAGTTTGAATCCACTGTCACATCTTTCATTTCCATCTTTTCCGGAATTTGCACATGGAATTATCCTTTTGCTAAATTTTTGTGAGTCCGCTTCTATGTCTACGATTTTTATTTTTTCATATAAATACGGAATATTTGTAGTATAGTCCAAAACGTATACGTACCCGTTATTTTCTTTTTTTTTTCAAAGCTACAATGTGGAATTTTTCTGTGTTGATAGATTTCGATAGATCAGCTTCGTATCTTTTATCTTTCGATTTTCTCAGGATGCCCAATTTCAAATTTTCGAGTTGACAGAATTGAAAAGATCTATATAATATAATGGCCCCAATTTTCCTATTTGCTAGTTTTTCAATTTTTTCCAGCATTCAATTTTCGAGGCTTTTTCTGCTTTGATAAAAAAAAGGTGTTAGTACGATGCCTACTTTCATGTCTTCCACCTTACTTAATATTTTTGTAGCATGAACTGAATTATTCTTTGAGGAAAATTCAGGTTTTCCTTTTTTCTATCTTTTTTTTCACCATTTCAACCCATTGTCTTATCATTTTTTTTCAAAAAGGTGCTTTCCCGCCCAGCTGTTCTTCCATCCTATGTCGTTTGACCAAACAACTGATAAGTCTTGCCTGTCCTATCACTCTTCCTGTCACTCAAACGCAGTTTCTTCTGCTATGACTTGACTGTTTCCGGTGTTCATTCTTTCGGGAACTGTTCCCATAAAATTTTCTTTCTCTTTTTATTCCCGAAATCGTCACAGAACAGAGTTCTTTTTGAATTTCTGATTGGAAGGCCATTTCCTCTTCGTCACCAGATGCTTCTGATCAAGTCCTGAGGAATTCATAGAATGTGAATGTACTTTTGGGCGAATGAGAAACATCTGGTGATGAATGTTGGAGAATGCAAAGCGATTGGTTCCAGGAGGTTTGATAGGGTCTTTGTGTATTTAACAGTTCAAACCGCAGTTCATTCTTGATTATTTATTGAAATATTTCTGTTCTATTATTATTCAGCTCTCTCTTTTCTGACCGTAATAACTTTTTTTTGTTTCCCTTTCCTGCAGATATTTGCTATCCGTTTATTTTTCCAACTCACTTTTATTTTTCTTCCATTTCTTCCTCTACTAATGGCGACTTGGTATTCAAAATCATCCACTTTTTTGACCTAACCTTGTAATTTTATTTTTTCAACCATTTTTTTCTTCCATCGATCATCAGTGACGATTTAGTGATCAGTAGGTCATTCAGTTGTTAACTACCCCAGAAATTTTATTTTTCATTCATTTCTTCTTCCATCAACGATGGCTTGTGTTCAGTAAAACATCTATTCACTTACCATAAAATTTTGTGTTTCATTCATTTCTTATTCTATAAAAAATGTGGATCATCCATTTTTTGACCTACCCATACACTTCTACTTTCATCCATTTCTTCTTCCATCATGGTGTTCTGTAGATCATCCACTTTTTTGATCTACCCATATGATCATCATTCGATGTGGACGGGTTTGCCTCTATCTTTATTTTCGAATAAATGAATTATCATTGATAATTCATATTTATCTGCTTTTCCTCGATGGGAATTCTGTTTTTTGCCCTTTTCTAAGATTTACTGACATTTTTAGGAAGATCTTGGGACTATACACCGTAAGTTTTTTCTAGTGCTATTTCGTACAATCAGCCATCCCTATCTATATTTTCAATCACCAATCTTTTTTGTTTTTGTTGCATTTTTACACAAATCTCAGTTGTTCCCCCCGTATGATTCTCCTGTGTGTGCTAGTGAACGCTTCGCACGATATTATTTTTGCACTTTTTGGAAACAATTCAGTAATTTTTTTCTGTTTCAGTAACAACCAGTCAAATTATTCCACCCGAATAATGACAACATGTCAACTACCAATATGCCATATCACGGTACGTTTATTGTCTTTTTTGCACTTTTTATCTTTACTTCCTCTGGGGTGTTTCCTTATTTAAAAAAGCAATGACTTTATTACAGCAAAATTTGCTATTGACTACGATACCGGTTGTTAAACTATTTGCATCGCAAAAACTAGTGAATATTGGAAAATTCGTTGCAAAAACTCTTTTCTATCACCAAAATCGTAGAAATCATAAAATTCAAAGAAAAGTAATGAGGTCACAATGAAGGTAATTTTTGAGCGGAGATGCTATCTGCTTGCAATAATGACCCCCCCCCCCAAAACAGCTAATTTCAGTCTTCACTACACTTTACTTGCGCAGTCAATGGCCGATTTGTGAAAAGAATGATAAAGAGAGTAAACCTTGTTTTTTTATTAGATTCTGCATTTGCAGCTTTTCCAAAAAACAGGGCTCGGCACAGCTGGCTGGCACCGGGTCAAACTGAATATCGTTTTTGGGACAGAAAGGCGAGAGGGATATGATTTTTGTGGCCGAAAAAAAATTACGACGCTTTTTAGCCTAAGTTTCGTTTTTTCGAGGGGTATTTTACATTTAGGGTCAAAAGGAACTTCATAAAATTTTTGAGAATCAAGTGGCACATCGTTTTGCCATTTCGCTGATGCCAGCTCCTGCCGAACACTAACAAAAAAATGCAAAATTTGATTACGCCTTTAGATCAATTCAGATAACATATTACCGAGGTTGCTAAATTACCAAAAAGTAACCTTATGACTTAAATTTTGCAAGTGACTTGTTGTACATGTGGATAAGATTTTGAAAATTTCCAAAAATACAAAGTAGCTTTGTAGAAATTTTGAGACTTATCTATCGTCATTCCCTTGTCTTGAAATTTTGAGATTATAGCTAGCCCGCAGATATTTGGAAAGCAACCCAGAAAATTTTGATGCATAAGGCCTTTCGTTGAAAAAAATTTCCTTGTTTTTCCGGGGCGAACAAAATTTCTCGTATATGCATGTGAAGCGAAGTATCTAAAGCCTTGGTTTTTTATGTGAAAATCTTCAGTTAGTGAGCTTTGTGGCTATCTTTTTTTGCTAAGATATAGATATTTAAGTCCAGCTCTACTGATAAATATTCAAAGAATTTAGAATTTTTTCCAAGCATTATTTTTCAATGTTTAGTCGAAATTGTATTTCGTATTTGATTTCTAAAATCATATCCGTCATCTATAGCGGTCATGATTATTTCAGACCAAAAAGCCATTTTTTCTATGGAAAAAGTCCACAGTTAGCTAAAATGTCCCACTTTTCCCATTCTTCACCTTGTCTTTGTGGTTAATTACCGCAGCGGCCTCTATGATTTTTGCTCCAAGTTTTCCGCGACCTTATCAGTTCCTGTTAACAAGCCCTGAAATGACGTCTGATAAGCTAGAACAGAACTTAATAGGGTCGTTCTCCCTTATCGATGAAACAAGCTAGCTTTCAAAACGTTTGATGTGTCTGACCGCCAATTCTTTCACTTGATAAATATTTGTTCAGAGATCTTCAAGTTTGAATTTTCCGCAGTTAAAAAACGTTTTTATTTCATCCTTCAATCCAGCACTATATAGTTTTCTCTAACAGACTGTATTTAACATTGGTATTCAGTAAAACATGAAGAAATAGCTAAGATAAAAAATTTAAAGACTGTTCAAGTATGGCAGGCATTTTTGCGCAAAAAAACCTTTTAAAGGCTATAAATTCTCTATGGAGAGATTATATTCAGTTTACTGATCGTTGAATAAGCTCATAAAATTTCAAAAGTGAATGAACAATGGCTCTTTTAGTGGAGCAATGACTGAATTGGCGAAGGGGTACTGTAAATGATGAGATGAATGAAGTTAGAGGGGCGAATGAGAGTATATTTTTGTGAAAGTGATAAGCTGGAGATGAGGTGTTTGTTGGAATAAATAAGAGTATTGTATATAGAAGTATAAGGATGGGGGGGGGGGGAGAGCTTTCATAAAATTTGGTTTTCGCGCACCCAGCTTTTTTGCAAACGCTTTTGTACTTTGCCACACTCTTCTTCATAAATCAACTTTATTATAAATTACATAAGTTGAATAATATGTACAAAAATTGCTAATATACCGAAAATTACTACTCTTCATAATTGCATCATTTTGAGTAGACGGTTTAATTCTTCTTGTAAATGGGAAATTTTTTGACAGTTTCATAAACCTCACAGAGAACTGGTGCCGATAGACTTAGAAATGCTCAGAAATATAGCCAAAAAATAATGAAGAAAGAAGTATTGATGGTCGGTGCCATGTTAGATCAAAACCGTTTGAGAAATTTAGAGTCTCTTAATTTTGCCATATAAAAGCCTAATGAAAACTTATTCACTCAATTAATGAGTGTATCTGATAAATGTTTGAAGAGATTGTAACAGACAAAAAGCTGAGTTGAACAGTGCAACGTATAATGGACGAATAAGTGGTACTTAAGTACCAGAACCATTTGCTTAACTTAAGAAAATTCAACAGTGTATGATCCGTATTGGAAGAAAAGTATAAAGTATGAGTGAATCATTGTAAATTTTGAGTGGCTTTCCTCTATTTCTTTTATTATTTCTTTTTTCTTTCATTTCCCTGAATAACCCTACCATCTTTTACTGTCAACAATCAGCACTGAAGAACATTCAATGGCAGTTGCGCACTTAAGTCAATGCATAAAGATGGACATAAACTGGTTACGATTGTGGTGAAGCCAAAACAACTCGGTGGTACAAGCGGAAAACATTATTTGCATACTCTGATGAATGTGTGCAAAGGTTCCGGCCTTTAGAAAAACATTTCTGTACAAAGACTCTCACGAAACCCTCAATTTCATAGTTCAATTTCTACCAACTTGCGATATTTTCGCGATTTTTTTCAATAATCAGATGACTACTAGTATAGGATTAAAAATTGCCAAAATTTATAGGCAAGAATGCCAAAAAGCATTTCTAGCATATACTTGATGAAAAGCTGGCTCTGTTTTCTCGTTTCCTCTTCGCAGTAGAGCAGAAGCAAGCGGAAATAGGGTCAAGTGGCACTGAAGATAAGCCTATTAATCAGCGGATTTGCTTATGTTCTTCCGAGCCACTGAGTATACAAAACGCATCTGCCAGCGTCAATTGCTCTCGTTCCTGTTGCTGTTTTCTTCCGTCTATCTTTTCGGTTACATCCCAAGCATTTTCTCTTATGAATGGGGACAAAGTCTCATGGGCAAAGGTCGTGCTGTTTATTTATTTTTACACATGAAAAACTCCGAACGGTTGTATTTATGTGATAACTGTATCCAAAAAATTGTTTCGTTCTTACTTTTCTCACTTTAATATCACCAATCTTGCTTGCGGGACAATCAAACTTTGCCTTGCAGAAAGGAAAAGCTCCATTCTTTGTCTCTTATCTCGATACAGAATTCCCTCCATAGAACTTCCTCATTTATCTTTTGGCAGATGTTTGAATAAGGTAAAAACTTGGAATAAGACTTTGATTTTGACGCGGTTAGCAGTAATTTCAGTAACCTAGCTATTTCTGAGGCATGTCGCTAGATTCTTGCGTTTTTGCAGATTTCATTTTTGTTTATAATCAAATTTTACTTACTTGGTACAAACAATGCATTATTTCTTCTCAAAATGAAAGTCACTTAACTTAGGTCGGCCTTTTGAAATGAGACACATATATTTAAAATCAGCTCGGAACGCTGATTCCAAATATGCTGTCCTTAGCTGCGAAGCGTTTGAAGCGAGTTATGAGCTTTTTAGTATGTGTAACTGACATATAACTGAATATGGGAAGAAGGCCTTTAGATGAAATTTTGCCTAAAAAAGTGGTGAGAAATCGAAATAACATCAAACTGAATCATTTGGCTTGATAGGGTGTTGTATGCATTTGAACTACTACCTGGATGACGATACCGTAGCATGCTTAAGTCGGTCAGCACGCAAACTTTGCTTAAGTTTTAGCTCATAACTCGCTTCAGAGGAATGGTTCGCAGCTAAGGACAGCATATTTGGAATCAGCGTTCCGAGCTGATTCTAAATATATATATGTGCCTCATTTCAAAAGGCCGACCTAAGTCAAGTGACTTCCCTTGTTAGTTGACATACATATGTGGTCTATACAATCATTGTAATACCAGTGTGGAAGTAATAAATTGAGAAATCGAAATGTAACGGAATTTTTTTGAATCTGTGAAAGTGGGAATTTTTTAGCGCGTTTTGAACTCATTCCTTATACAAATCCTTGTTTTGTGCAGTCACATGCGATAAGTTTTTTTTAACGCCGACGCAGTCCATGTCTAATTGTTACACTCAATACAGAGAATGACCACAACTGAAAAGAAAAATGATTGAGGATCTAACCTTGGGTATCTTTATTTGCTCTATTGTGTTACTGATTTGACAGCAAAATTTCTTCTCAAAGTCAAGCATCATTGATATGCATCTGTGAAGTAATTGCCTTGATATATTTACACAAAAATTATCATTGAAAAAAAATTTGATGAAAGTCGTAAAAAATGTATGAATCAACTGAATTATGAAAAGATTTTTCTACAAGGTAGATTGAAAAAAGGAAAAAATTTAGTTGTATATAACGAGCGGTGAAGTCCTGCAAGTGGACTAATTCTGTACGAAATTCAGTCATCAACATTTTTATGAAATTCAAATTATTCTCATAGAAAAAACTCTTCTAGAGGATCCCCACTCCTTCTATGTTAGATTTAGAACACTACAAATAAAAGAGAAAATTACATGTGTTATTTTTATCCGTTTCGCTCCCTTAGACGGAATTTGGCTTGATTCCTAAGTCTTCCCCGGAACTCCTCAGTAAGGAAGGAAGACACAGTATCAAGTAAGAAAGTTATGAATTTGAAATTTGAAATTGAAATTTATGAATCCTTTTTTAGGAATTTTGTATTATCGTTAACTGCAATATATTGAGTTAGATTTTTGTAAAAATGTGGGATAATTTACTTCCAATGACTAAAAGTTGAAAAGTTTGGGTA